AGGCAGAGGTAAGTCCAGGAGGTCTAGTGCAGTAACGCAGTAACGCTGTGACACTGGCTTTGCCTACTTGTCTGCTTGACATGGCAACCGTGGTGTGAATCCACCCTGTGCTTTCCCTGAGCAGGTTCCTGCAGACCGTGAGACAGTTTGTGCCGAAAGTCTTGTCTGGAGGAGAGATCAGTTTGCCCTCCAGGAGATGCAGGAGGACTCTGTAGAAGTTGTGGTGTAGCAGCCATCTTAGGTGAGTCTCGCGGCTTCAGTTGAGTCTCCCGTGGTGTAGAGGTGAGTATAAAATACAGTTAAAGGTACAGTGCACACACAAACAAAAATACTGTTTTACATTTAACAAGGCTGCTTAAAATAACCTTTCTTAGCAAGTAAATATGGGGATTCAGTTCCACCATATGGCCATGTTGTGTTAAGCCCACCACTACATCACAGTACCCAATATCGGTGGGTCCGACACTACATGCTAACTTGCAAAGTTTAAACTACTTCAAGAAACTCCTCAATTTAAGCTTTCCTGTGGTCACCTTCAAAGGGGCACTCATGGTGGATGGGTGGGGTGCAGTGTGTGTGTGAGTGAGGGTGCTGTGAGTGTTAGGGGTGCAGTGTGTGTGTGAGTGAGGGTGCTGTGAGTGTCAGGCAGGGGCGGGCTGGGCCGGGGGCAGGGAGGCAATTGCCCCCCAGGCCGCCCTAAATTCTGTTAGGACCGGCCGCTGCAGGGCCGGCCCTTTAAATGCTGCAGCCGCCTGAGCGCTCTGTTAAGAGCCTCAGGCGGCTGCGGCTGCGGCTGCTCCTCTCCTCCCTTGCCTTCCCCTGTAGCGTGGCCGAGCTGCTCTGCTGTCCGCGGTGCCCGGCCGGACTGATAGGAAGGAGTGTGCACTTCCTGTCAGTCCGACCGGTTACAGGAAACAGAAACTCCTGTTCCGCGCGAACAGGAGTTTCTGTTTCCTGTCACCGGCCGGACTGACAGGAAATGCACACTCCTTCCTGTCAGTCCGGCCAGCACCGCGCACAGCAGAGCAGCTCGGCCATGCT